TCCGTGACACGGTTGCCGCTCCGGGCTCATAAGAGAACGAAGGTCGTTAAGATGCCTGCTCATCAGCTGAGTAGGCGAGCGGTCACGATGAGGTGACTCAATGCCTTCTCAGTGAGCTTGGTGAGATAGCCGGGCTCCAGTCCCCACGAAGCCGCCATCGCCCCGAGAGTAGGTGCGTCGCCTTTCAGCATGCGTTGACGCGCTTGAAGGAGCTGCGTCGCCATGGAATCTAATGACTTGTTGCCGTTGAGCCGGGACGGGTGATTGGCCCACTTGACCAGTGACGTCAAAGTCGTGGTTGTGGGTGATTGCTTGAGATAAGGCGAGGCTGGTCACTGGTCCATGTGTAGTACTTGACAACTTCATCCGGCGTGCTGTGCATGGTGAGCAATTGTGACGCCGCCGGCTTGGACGGCGGTGACGACACTCCGTGAAGAGACTGAATGATCCGGGGTTGCACCGCGCTATCAAACGACTTGCCATCAAGGGCCGCTGCGCTGGCTGTAGGGAGGGAGCTGGCAGGTGACGAGGATTGTGTGTGGTTGACCGGTGGCGGTGTAACCAACTCTGCATCATCTTTCTGGCTTGCCATCGTGGGAGAGGTCGAAGCGCGCAGCGATGCTGAATACTGAGCCTGGAGCAGCTCATGCGCACGATTTAGATCATTGTACTTCTTGACCATGTCATCTGTCTGGGTGGAAGGTGTGAGAGAAGCGTGGTGTTGCTGAAGAAATTGAAGTACCAAGCTGGCCAAATGGTCATGAACCTTGATCCGCTGATTGAAGTCATCGATGTTGAGACCCAGCGAGTTGGCAAGGTCCTTTTCCAGGGTGAGCAGGTTGATCGACTGTGATCGTCGTAGTAGTTTGGAACAGGTACTCCAAAGTAAGGCCTCGGTGCGAGTGCGAAAGCCTTCCCACGTCACGAATCTGCCGTGAGCGAACGGTCGGAGCAGCCAGTTGGTGAGGCCCCCATGAATAACCTGAACCAGGCGAACGTCACGAATATCCATGCCTGACATGTCGCGCAGGTTGCCATGCGGAGTGTTGGCAACGGTCATGGGCAGGCTAAAGTTGTAGAGCTGATTGACATCAAACATGCCATCTCCAGGTGTCCAGTCAGGCGATGGTGTAAGCCAGGTTTTCTGAGGGCGAACCGGTAGAGCCGCAGGAGGTCCAGATGGCGGTGTAGGTTGCGGAGTAGTGAGTGGTGGTGGCATCACGGGTGGCATAAACTTCGTTGGCGTGGGGTCTGGAGGGATCGGCATCATGTAGTTGATCGCTGGGTGTTGGAATTTGCTGTGTGGGACTGTGAGTCGATTGAAAATTGGTGGGCATCATCGGGAAATTGTTGGCAGAGTTGTAGCCGGAATTGTGTTGCCAAGTTACCAGGTTGTTCCAATCCATGCCTTCCGAGACGTGGTGGTCATTGTGTTCACGTCGGTGTGCTTTACGAGCCTGAGGAGAAGTACTCCGATCACGTCTGCGCCGAGTCCTGGATCTATCACGATCATCACGTCGAGACATGGTTACACAATCGACTCTCAATCTTCACGCTTCCATCTTGAGAGACACATATCAGACAACAAGCAAATCCATGCAGCGGCAACGTATCAACGAATCCAACCAATGGCAAGCAAACATCGATGGTGAGACGTCTCTATGATCTGTCCGCTGTCTTCCCTTTAGTGAGACCTCGTTCCTGGTTAAATGTGAAATTCCGGTGTTCTATGATAGGCACGTTGAGGTCAAATTTTCCGACAGAGCCGGCCCGGGGTCACACAATGGGTACACCCGAGGATTCCCCACGAATGGGGTGTACACACTTAAACTCCAAATGGAGAGTGCTAATCTTTCGAGTACAACTGATGAGTCTCGAGTACAACTGATGAGTCTCGAGTGGGTGTAGGTTCGGCTTGCATTCACTTGGTTTCCGTCTAGCAGCGAACACGTTACCCGAAAGAACAAGAAGCACAAACAGCGCCGCAACCAAGGGGGGCCAAAAGGACTTTGAATCACACGAGATGCACAGGTACGTCGAGGTGATCAGCCTCGATATCACAGGACCAATGCGGCGTCTTCGTTGGATGCCGACCGCATAGGTCCCCGGCATCCCCCTGCTGAGAAACCGAAAGGGTGGTGACAGGGCATTCTGTCACTCCGCACACACACACACACACAGACACACACACGGGTCTTGACAACCAGCAACCACACAATTCAACACTCAGTCCCTCCGGTCTCAGGCTCTCTGGATTCCCCATGTAGTCTTTGAACCTCTTCGGGGCAACCAGAGCCGCCGGCGAGTCTTGGAAAGCACCTCCTGCACATCCTCCGTGGATGCCTGGCAACATGAGATAAGGAGCGCCCTTGCAAGGCACAAGTTGGCAGCCGGCAACCCCTCGCCTCAGCGATGGTGCCCTTCAAGGCATCTACCTGCAGCCAGCAGTCATGCTCCATCTCGGAAACAAGCAGTCCGCGAGTCCACTGGAAACTGTCCACACCACGTACATGACGTACATGACGTACATGTGTGGAGTTCTACTTGGAACGTCCTTCCAAAGGTGTTTGGGTAGAAAACGAGCGCTGCTTGCGGCTCCTGGCTTTTCTTAGCCCAGTCAGCCAGCCGCAGGGGCCGGACAGTTCTCTCCACCAACTCGGAGAACTGGTTTTTGCGGAAGGTGAGCAGGTGCCTCTTGCCCAGCCTCACGCAGGGGAAGAAGCAAAATCGATTCCCATCGAAGACGACTCAAATGAGGGTGGAGTAGCGGAGACTTGGGAATGGTCATGGGGCTCTTCTGCGCAAATGGCCACTCAGAGCTCACCCCAACGACCATGTCGAGCTCAGGTTCTCCAGTTTCAGGGAGTGTTCCCTTCTTCATGAGAAGGCCAGTCCGTTTCAATTAGCCACCTCCGAATAGATCCGAAAGGATCTGTGCGTGGTCCTCCAAGCAAAAGCTCTGGTGTCTCAAAGCTGGGACCCAGAAAAAAATATTGCCCTCCAGCCCTCCAATTGACACCAAAGTTTATGTGCTTCCTCACCCATGGAAGTCAGCATCCTTCTGACTCGTTCGCATGGGACTGCCATAGATTTGACCTGGGGCTCGCCCGTCAATTTTGCACAGGTTCACTTGACTAAGTGCAAAAGAGCAGCTCCCTTGCAACGGCTTCAAATTGAAACCCTGCAGAAGCTTCGGATTCTTTGGCCAAACACGAGGATCCGGCGCTCCCCGGGGCCGCCGGTAAGGTTTGGCCACATCCACCTAGCTGGCGGCATTTTGGCATTTGACAACATTGGGATTCGGACCAAAATGTGTTTTGTCTTTCCTTTTTCCCTAGTTTAGAAAAAAAAAAGTGAAAACTCCCTCCGAACCCTCGCTCCAAAAACCAGCAAGAATGACACAGCCACGTCTTGACGATCTTTCGGTGTTCCATGACCGAAGCCGACGGAAGCATCTCGCCTCATCACCGCCCTCGCGGCTGGAGCGTCTGACTGAAACTGCAGTGCTTTGCAATGCCTCGATGGGCCAAAAAACAAGTGCCAGGAAAGCCAAAGCCATACCGAACTATTGTCAACAAGTAGACAGGTAGAGATAGGTATAGATAGGTGGATAGGTAAAGCAGGCAGTTTGGCAGGCGGGTTGGAAAAAAAACGCCGCTTTGGTCACGAACCATCCTGCAAGTTCTGATGTAACAAGCCTTTGATTGGAGCAACTTTCGTTCAAAAAAGGCGTTTCACAGGCGCCTGGTAAGTGACCTGAGTGCAGCACGGAACTCGGCCGGCGCATGGCCATGAGCTAGAACATGCGGACGCAGGACCAGAGAGGGGGGGTCTAGCCTTTGACACATCCCAATACACGAATTGGCCAATCCTCCAGAGTCCCCAGAGGGTACCAAGGCACAGAGGGTCTTGTTTTCACATTTTTGACCAAATTCTCCTGAGCAAATCCTTGCTAAATTGCTTTGATGAGCCCCTAAGAAATCTGCGCTCGGTGTGATCGCATCTGGGACCAAGGGTCTTCCCAGCTACTCGGTCTTCGAGTTGCTGGGGCCCGCCCGCTAAGTGCTGCGGCATCATTTCAGTCGGTATCATTGGCACTTCGACCTTTGTGCCTTTTGCTTTGTGCAAAAAAGGGATTTGTGCTGGAGCATAAACCTCCTTCTGCTTGATGTGCTTGTGCATTGGGTCAGCGTTGGGTACAGTAAGATTGGTCCCCGAAAAAGGAGCTGAAAACATGTCAGGCCAGTTTCATGTCAGTCATCTTTTGGATAATACAGCGACCGCCAAACTATCTCTGGTTGGCACTGTTGAGTGAGGATACAAAGAGCCTGTCTTCTTTCTTAGCTTATGAACAGCTAGCCTTCAGGAAATAATATCTGATGCTCGAGCACCCTCTCCTAGTCTCACAACAGTCAGTGGCCCTCTGCTTGTGAAAGGTGTGCCACTCTGGGCTTCACGATAGGTCCTTTTTGAACGTTGAACCATCCTTGCCCAAAGGTCGCAGCTCGGTTGACACAGCCGTTTTGAGGTGACCCCCTGTAGGGGACAGGGAATCCGAAAACCGCCGGATTGGAGAACAGCTTCTTTTTCTTTGCGTGGCATCCTCTTGGCGCATTTCGCAGTGAAACGGAAGCTGAAAGGCCTTGGTGCCGAACACGCGATGCGCCAGGCAATGTTTTTGGCGCAATCGCACCCTTGACATCACTTCCACCACAGCTTGAAGCAAACAACGGGGAGTCAAGGGTCCGAGCAGCAATGGCTTCTCTCGCATTACTCTGGACCCAAATGAGTGAGACCGGAGCAAATCGAGGTGGACAAGTTACAGTACTTGTCCAAAGTAGTGATGTTGCTGTGAAGCACTGCATAAATGTATCCATAGAGGCAGTTCTCATTGAGGTGCGCCAACACGCCTCCAAACAAGGACATTTCTTCCAGTTGCTGGTTGATGCCTTTCACGCCACTGGGCACAAAGATCTCGCTCTTTGGGCAGACATGCGCCCATTGGTTGCTGATCACAAGCTTCGAAGGGTCCGGGCTTGGATCAATGGGGCTGTGAACCACCCGACTCACCTTGGACTGTCGTATGCAATCCAGAGGCTGCGTAAAGCAATCGTAAGCGTTTGTCGCCGTGTTGTACGCGCTCCACATCTTGTGGAACGGCATCACGTGAATCATATCCTTAGCTCTCTGCTCTCCGCAGAGAAACCCTGGCGCACACAAGTGGTGCTACCATGATGATTGGAAATGCGGGCACAAGCCAAAGGAATAAACATGTATCACTCTGCCAACAATCCCCTCTTGTCATGTTTTGGGGGCTGTTTCTACTGGTTGGTTGCTTCCTTGCTATCTGGTATGGTGCCTGCCTGCCTGCCTGCCTGCCTGCCTGCCTGCCTGCCTGCCTGCCTGCCTGCCTGCCTGCCTGCCTGCCTGCCTGCCTGCCTGCCTGCCTGCCTGCCTGCCTGCCTGCCTGCCGGCCTGCCTGCCTGCCTGCCTGCCTGCCTGCCTGCCTGCCTGCCTGCCTGCCTGCCTGCCTGCCTGCCTGCCTGCCTGCCTGCCTGCCTGCCTGCCTGCCTGCCTGCCTGCCTGCCTGCCTGCCTGCCTGCCTGCCTGCCTGCCTGCCTGCCTGCCTGCCTGCTGCCTGCGTGCCTTGCCTGCGCCTGCCTGCCTGCCTGCCTGCCTGCCTGCCTGCCTGCCTGCCTGCCTGCCTGCCTGCCTGCCTGCCTGCCTGCCTGCCTGCCTGCCTGCCTGCCTGCCTGCCTGCCTGCCTGCCTGCCTGCCTGCCTGCCTGCCTGCCTGCCTGCCTGCCTGCCTGCCTGCCTGCCTGCCTGCCTGCCTGCCTGCCTGCCTGCCTGCCTGCCTGCCTGCCTTGCATCATCCCTCCCTCCCTCCCTCCCTCCCTCCCTCCCTCCTTTCTGCCTGCCTGCCTGCTTGCTTGCTTGCTTGTGGGTCGATTGGCTTGCTTGTTTGCTCACTTTCGTGTTTGGTTGGTTGGTTGGTTGGTTTGTTTGTGCGTTTGTTTGTGCAACAGCAGGGATGACCATTTTTATACGAATGCCTTGTTTGATAATACTGCTACTGTTGGTAGGACCTAAATAGAAGGTCAAACCCATTCTTGCTCCCATGCTGCTTTTCGGACAAGTCTCGTTATAAGTGTTCACTCTGATCAGCCTATGACACAGATCTTGGGACTGCCACCAGTCGTCCAATGCTTTGTCGGACATCCGCGGCACCCCAAAGACGATGGTTGCCTCCGAATGCAACGTGATTTGCGTCTCTTCTCAGGACCATACTTCTGAGCACCAAAGAAGCTCAGGTCAAGTGGCGTCCCCACAGCAACCACTCAAACCCTCGTGGCAGTGGGTACCCACTTACAAGCCCCTCTCTTATGACTCTCGGACTTCAAACTCGAGTATGGCTCTTGTGAGTATACGATAGGGGGTACGTAAGGGGTAACTGACAACTTCCGGACATAGAAAAGATAGGTTCACAAAGCAGAATCCGTTGCATTCCATCACTTCATGTCCCACCCCTTCCCATTTCAGAGAACGGCCCCGAAAAAGCAGAGTCCTCCACCAAACAAGGGGTCATTTTTCGGGGTGCAGATCAAGTTTCGGAGAGCATCGGAAAGCTGTCAGACATATACGTGTCTCAAATGGGGTTGTCTCAAAAGAGACCCCCAGAACTGAGTTTCCTTTTGGTTTCCCACCAACCTGAAAACAGGAATACCGAGGTACACCCCGGTACCGGGGGTACCCCGGTACCCCGAGCCTCGAAACAGAGCAACTCGCAACACGCCAGGCCCACCTCCGGGGTCCGGGGCCACTTCTCGGCGTAGGCCTTGGTGGCCGCCAGCATGGCCAAGGCGCCGCCGAGGCTGTGGCCTGTGAAGATCAGCTTCCAGTCCTCGTTTTCGTCTGAGAAAAACGAAGCCCATCCAGCTCACTCGACTGAAGAAAATCCTCGTCCACATCCAAGATAAGCCCAAAACGTCCGATAGGGGTAGGGATGGATGGCATGCAGGGCTTGTTTTGGGATTGCCGGGACCATTGGCACGGACACGCGCACATTTAGTGACTTTGTTTGCGTGCCACGCGCAGCACTTTTGCAAAGTCAATACATAGATCGATTGATAGACAGAGATAGATAGGTAAAAAAGTTGAAAGGCAGGCAGACAAATAGACTAGATAGATAGCTGGCTAGCTAGCTTGCGGGTAGATAGATAGACAGGTAGACAAGATAGATAGATAGATAGATAGATAGATAGATAGATAGATAGATAGATAGATAGATAGATAGATTAGATAAAATGGATAAAACAGTTAAGGTAGGTGGATAGATGCATAGATGGATGGATAGATAGATACGTTTGATAGACATAGCTAGATAGGTAGATAGAGAGATAGAATAGAGAGAGAGAGAGACAAGCTAGATAGATAGGTAGGTGCATTGATAGATAGATAGGTAGATAGATAGATAGATAGATAGATAGATAGATAAATATATAGATTTCATAGATAGATAGGTAGATAGCTAGAAAGACAGAAATCTGGAAAGTGGCCGGATAAACCGAAAAATACGTTGATATTTAGCTAGAAAGACAAGAAAGAAAGACAGAAAGATAGATAGGTAGGTAGATAAATGGACAGGGAGAGAGATAAGAAGGAGAGAAAGAACGAAAGAAAGGAAAGACAGACAGATAGGTAGTAGGTAGATAGATAGATAGATAGGCAGGTAGGCAGGCAGGCAGGAAGGTAAGTAGATAGAGAGGCAGACAGACAGACAGACAGATAGATGGACAGGTAGCTAGGTGGATAGACAGATAGATACTTAGATAGATACAGACACATAGATCTATGTAGATACATAGACAAATAGACAGAAACATCTTTACATATGTAGTAGGATAGATAGATAAGTAGAGAGAGAGAGAGGAAGAAACGAATAAAGAAACGAGAAAGAAGAAAAGAAGGCTAAAGAAAGAAGAAATAATTCAAGAAAGAAAGAAAGAAAGAAAGAAAAGGCAATAATCGGTGACGTTAACAAGAAAGAAGAAAAAGAAAGAGAAAGAGAACCAACGTCCGCCCACCGGGACAAAACTTCTGCCTACCCTGCTTGGTATGCGGAACCGAAAAACATTGTGCCCAACACTGCGGCTGTCCGAAAAAATGAAAGAGGGTATCCATGTGAGGAACCATACTGGGGGGGCTTAGCCGAAAGGCAGCACAAAATCAGGATGTGCAAATAGCCCGACTCCCGAAATGGCCGTTTCTTGGATGTAGGATCTCATGCGTTGATGACACTCTCTAGAAACCCCAAGCATCAAGGTCTTTTGACCACAATTGGCTCCCTCAAAACATCAACCACGTGAAATCATTGCGATCTTCAAGACTCCAAAACAAAGGAATATCGGAACCGGGAAAGAGCTCCTGGAAGCCACACACGTTGTTTGTTTTGGAAGGCGGCTCTAAAACTTTGTGTTTTACTGGCAGCTCCTGCTGTTTGGTGCAGGACCTGCTGCCCTGTGGCTGTTTGGGGTGCTTAGGGGTGCACACCATCTGCACCAGAGACATTCCCATCTGGTCCCAAACGGAGAGCCATATCAAATTGGCCTGCTGCTTTTTCACCAAAGGGAGATATCGGGAGCCCTGAGGTTTGAGACGCCCAATCCTTGGGCACCGCGTTAAAGAGCCCAAAGATGTAGCCATCCACCCAGCGCTTTACGTGAGGCAGAACATGTTCCAGGGCAGTCAAAAAGCCTTCGTGCACATAGGTGATCTGGCCGTTCGGAAGGACCATGGGTATCCGTTGAATATCAGCATCCTATACCATCTGATCGCAAGCACTCGCTTCAGCCATGCGCTCCCATTTATAATGAACAAGAAAGAATAAACAGCTGCCGCGTCCGTCACAAGGGAAGCCAAGAATCAAACTCGTGCATCTACAAGAAAGTGAAACAAACATATGCCAATCGTACAACTATTCTATGAATAGGACAAGCAGGAGTTCAGCCCATGCATTCCAGTAAATCCACCAGAAAAAGCACCGGATCAACGAACAAACTTGCCCTGTCAGCAGAGCATCCACATGCCAGTTCTTGATGGACTTGAACTGTGTGCCCCGGAAGGCCACAATCGCCATCTTGGCCGACGGCGATTTGAACACCCGAGCGTGGATATTCTCCTCAGGGCGTTCTCAAACAATGAGTTACTCGTTTGGCGGTATGTTCCTTTTCTTTGGGGCCACCTCCACTGTTCAACTGACCGATGGACGAGAAGAAATGTGTAGGGTGGGAAACAAACTAAGTTGCGAAACCAATGGATTGAAAAAACCAGGCTGAGGATTCATTAATTCTTCGTGTGATGGTACATACTTCTACAAATCCGAGGGCTTGGGAAAATGATGTGAACCGGAATCAAGGGGTATGCATGGGATGCGGTATAAACAAAGGGTATGTGAAATCACTTTTGATTTGTTCGACCAACAACTGTGGCTTTGATTCTCCTTGTCTTCATTCAGCATGTCTACATCCCAGTCGCTGACCGCAGGGCACACGTTGGTGTCACCCCTAAGCAACCCGTGGCCAATCCGCACATTCATCCGCCTGGCCCCGATGTGGGCGTCGTCAATGCGGTTGGTGTGTGAAGAGCCTACTGCCAGTGTCTCCTCCAACCATGCAGACCGTGCCTGCGCCTTGCAAGGTTCTTTCTCTGGGTGTGCCTCAAAATTGGGGACATCACCAAGTGGGACCCCATTGTGAGAACGCTCGTTTGTTCCCTAACATCGTTCCTTGTTCATGACGCTGACGGTGGCAGCCCAGGCGGCTCCGGCAAACTCGATGGCCTGGTGCTGTTGCATCTCCGCCTTGCTGGTCTCCACAAAGCACGTGGTGCAGTAGCCAAGGTTGGAACACTCCTTGAATTGAAAAGGCCAGCCAAGCGTGTTGTAGCCCCCACAGCACGAGGCATTATCATGCCCCTCCGCCAATATACCAGGCACAGGGCACTTGAACTGAAACGGGTCTGTGTCTCCAAAAAGCTTCTCGTAGGTTGCCATGCTTAAGCTGAACATACTGAACTCTTCAGCAACGTCTGTGACTCCTGCTATTCCTGGCAGTCGCTTGCTTTGCCAACCCATCTTGCCGAGGCCGCAAAGCGCCAAAGCTGTGAATATGAAGGACACCCATCCAATACGACAAGAGCGTGAAGCAGGTTGCTCTTGGCAAGGATCTTCCTCATCCAGATCAGGCGAAGGGACCGTTTGATAACGAAAACGTTCCATGCGTCGCCGCTCAGACCTTGCAGGAAGTCCTGAGAAGCTTGGGCCCAAATGGCATCGGCATGTGCATGCTACCAAACCGAGCCAACTTTGCAAATGTGTTGGAAGCTGAGAACTGGCATGCCAAAAAAACCGAATCCTGTAGCCCAAACGTGCTCCATAGAAAACAGTTTGGGGGCTGCCACGTAAACCATTGAGCTTTTACCTTTCCCAGCCACAAATGTCCCGACCAATGAAGCCTTTCAGCCGCAGGCGCGCCACTGTGAAACTAAAACATCGCAGCAAAAGTTGGCATTTGTACGTCAACAATGTACGCTAGTCCAAAACGTCAACAATGTACGCTAGTCCAAACAGGATGAAAATAGGACACACTGAAAACATTCGACCCTTTACTTTCCAACACCCAAAAAAAAACGTGCAATTCCGAGCGCCTCCTCTTTTCGTCCTCTCAAGCGCTTCTCGGGCATGCTAGTTGTTGTTCGCCCCTCGGCAGCTGACTGGAACGTTCAAATCCTCGGCAACTACTTCCCAATGTGTTAGAATCCTGTTCACTGCTTCAAGCCAAGAGGGAACAAGCAATAAAAAGAAACACAAGTCCGACCGACCCAATCGTTCTGCTCCTTTTTTATTAGGCTTTGCTCAGAAGTCCAGGCTCGGGGATGCAGGAGGGATGACAAAGCGTGTCCATCCCCTTCACCGGCATCCCCATGCGGAGCCTGCACAGATACCCGGTTGCGAGGCTTCCCTATGCTCTGGCGATGCAAAGTCAAAGCGGACTTACGCGGCCAGAAATCGCGCGGCGTGAAATGCACTTTAGATTGCGGCTTATTCTTAAAGGCGGCAGTATTGCCTTTGCTAAGCTGGCCTGCCCAGATATTATGCTCTCCCGGATGTGGGAGGCGATTACTGACCATTTATGCTTATTGCACGAAAATTCGCAGGGGCCATGCTGTGGTGAAGAGTTTGTACACCCCAGCCTTGGAGGCTGTGTTGTCTGTTCCTGTGCGAACGCAGACGCTATGGCATGTTTGCCCCTCAGCGGCCAGCGGGAGCTGGGCGAGGGTTTCAAAGCATGCAATGTACCGCTGTGCTTCTTTGGTCAGGCAAGGCCACTGTATTTGGACCTCTGCGAAATTCCACGTTTCCGCGAACCAAGACACGCAATGCCGGGAAATGAACCATCCACCTACGCCTACGACGCTGCCCTCCGCACATGCGCCTGCGGCTGCCTTACACGCAAGCATGGGCTTGTTCGTTCGTGGGCATGCCATGTCCACCTGGAACGCGGCGCTTCAGCAGCAGCGGCTGCAGGTCGTAGCTGGGGTAGGTCTTTGTTTTCCCCGCAATAAAACAGTCGCTCCCTGCTTGCAGGCTGGGGGGGGCTGACCGGAAAGCGTGTGCGGAACCACCGAAGCATCTGCGGCTCGTCGCTTGCGCCTGCCGTCAATCGGTCGTAGGCCGACTGCCTCTCCAGCACTCGCCGCCCCGTTTTGGCAGTCCACTTTTATCTTCTGGAGCCTCCAGCCCGGGGGCGCCCAGTTTGCGGCAGTCCACTTGCCTCTTCCGGAGCCTCCAGCCCATCCCATTACGGGGACACCGCATTTCGGCAGTCCACTTTTTTCTGGAAGCTTAGCTGACCGCCGCGTCCGACATCTGCCGCAAGCTCTCCGCCTCCCAGCCTTTCGCCAGGAGCGCCCCTTAGCACGCTTGGCTGGTCCCTGGTGCGAGGCCGGTCTGGCACTGGTCCTCCGTGAACTGACCTCTCCGAGTCGGACCCTTCCGGAACCCTTGTGGAAGTCAGCCCCTTTGAAGAGGACGCCATTTGTGGCGGCCGAAAAAAGCAAGTACCCGGTGAGACTGGAAAAAGGCTGCTGCACAAATACAAGCGCTGAGTTCTGCAAACCACGCACAAAACAACACATGCTTCGCCCAAAAAATTAAAAAGATGAAAGGGTCAGCGCGCACGCGTACCTTCTTTGCTCGTCGAGGTCAGGATCACACTCTACTACAAAACACAGAGCAAAACAGTGGCAGTGACCAGTCTCACTGCGTTATCTCTACATTCTCAAGCTCGCTCTGAACGCAGTTGCGTGATCGATGTCTTTCAGCGATAGCCAAGAGCTCTGCCACGGAAAACTTTCGCACTGCCTCTTCAGACCAGCCTTGGTGAAGTAGCGCTTTCCCGACATTCTTGGCCTTCCTGGCCGGACCCGCCGTCGAATTTCGAGATCTATACCCCGCTGGAACTGGACAGGCCTCTGTGCGAGAAGTCTGCTCACGCGAAGTTTCCCTCGTTGCTGGACCGCTGCTTGACCGCAATACGCGTGTCGTCAACGCCATACCTCTCTAAGTGAATTGAAAGCCAGTGACGCTGCAGCCAAAGCGAAATACGCAAATACATGCGCAGCTTTCATTTCACTGCACAAGAGTTAAGGCATGTTGCACTGCTCCTAGCTTGAACCCAAACATGAACCCCCAAAAGAACAAAGCAAGTCCGAAGCGGCCGCAGTTCTTTTTACCGGGATTGCTGAAAGTAGCACTGCTTTCAGGGCACTGGTGCGCCTGGAACAGGAGGTGCGTCGACCCCCCCTTCAGTGTTTCAGGCAACCCCGGTATAAGCGAGCCAGCTGGGCCGCCGGCCTCATTACCCGCCCTTCAGAGTGGGGTTGTACCTGGCAGGGCAAATGTCTGCGTGACAATGCACGCTTGCGGCTGTGAGCAGCCTGTCTGCATTTTTTTCGGTCAGAGCGGCTTGATGTAAGCGGCTGGCTGACATTTGGTCGCAATGCATGTTGGGATGCAAATAAGGCTGGCTAAGCAGTGCTGGAGGCAGCTGCCAGGTGTTCCGGGCGCCAGGGCGCATCCATCGGACACAGCTGAATGACATTGCTAGGCCCGCAGGGCTAGCGTATGCGACTTTCAAGGCGATGGCTGAATCGCGCCAACCGACCTCTGCTGAGATCGTCTGCCCAATCATTGCACCTTCCTGGAACGTGCGTCGGCTGCAGCAGCACATTGTGAGCGTGAGCCCAGAAGGCTGTTAACTGCACGAAAAGTTGCAGCGGCCAGGAGGTCGTGAACAACTTGTTAAGGCTTGCTTCCGTTGCGGAATTGTCCGTGCCTGAAGGCATGCTGAACGAGTAGTGCCCACCACCAATGTGGCTGTGGGTTGCTTGCAGTAGTGCTAACTGCGCCAGCGTCTCGAAACATGCGACGCACCGCTGTCCAGGCTTGACAAGGCAAGGCCATACGGCCCGTATGTCCCGCATGTTCCAGGTTTCGGCAAACCAAACCACTTGGGAGGATGTGATTGCCCAGCCCCCTATCCCTACCAAGTCGTCTTCGGCACACGCATCCGCGGCAGCCAGTGCTTGCAGCTGGTGTGGCCGCGTCAAGGGCTGAACGGGCGAGTGCTGAAAGCACAACGCCAGCCATGTAAGGCATTGCTGGCTTGACTTGGAAAGGCTAGTATATGGGTTATTGGGGTCCGCGATGCGCACCCACGTGGGTTTGCTAGTGCCGGGCACCCGCGGGATGTCCTGAAGGCAGTGCGTGGCGCGACCTGAAATTTCCAAGATTTTGGAGCCCACTGTGATCCACAAGCCGGGATGGCTATGGCTGGTTTTGAGATCCTTGTTCAAGGATGCTCTGAAGGCTGACCACATTTGAGGCGGTATCGAGCGCATCGAGCCGGGTGGGCTGTTGAGGTCCGAGTATAGTGGCGCTAGCCAGGATCTCAGATGCAGTGCAATGCTGGTGGCCCAAATGAGCAGGCCTATGCGCTGCTCGAGTGTTTTGCGGAGTACCCGTCGGCTCCCCAGCAGTGCTTCGATCAAGGCGTCCAGCTTGGTCAGCTTAGCGGACACGAGCTGACTGGTGTCGTGGGAGAAGTTGATCTCCCAGCCGCACCAAACAAGGCTGTCCTGGAATTGCGCCTTTTTCCATGAAATTGGCGCCGCAATGGCGCAAAAGAAAAGCACCACCAAGGCAAACACATCTGGTGCGCTATCTCGGAAGAGTGCACACAGAAGGTCGTCCACAAAAAGGAAGGCTTTGTGGGGCTTCCAAGCCAGCAACCTCTGCACCTGGCGAAGCAAAAAAGCGCCAGTGCGCTGCCACCAGAATGCCGAGAAACGGCCCCCAAAATGGCACACTCTATAGTGATAGAGTTTTCCTTGAAAGGCGAATAGTAGAAGGCCATGCTCTTCAGGGCTGACCTGCGCCTGTTTGTGTGCGGCTTTGAAGTCAATGCTGGCGCCCGCGAAGGCGCCTGGAGTGTCCTCCGGCTGCGTGGACAGCGCCAGGTCCGATGCCATTGGCAGGCTCAGGCGCTCTGGTAGATGGCATCTGGTATTCACTTGGCACACGGTGCTGTCCAGGACAAGGCGCGGCTCTTTCCCTTCTGCAAAAACGACATTTAATTTGCCTACTAAGGGCCATTTTTCCCGAGCCTCGGCGATGCTAAGGCCGGTTTGTTGGCAATTTCATTGCGCAGCAAGCTTTGCACGGTTTCTGGTTCGTCCTCGGCCATCTTCCAGTTGCCCTCACAGATTTCCAGATCCGGCGGCAGGGCGGAGTCTGGCTTCTTCGCCGGCCATTGAAGGCTGGGTGGCAAGGCTGACACGGCTCCTGTCGGTACCCCTGTTGCAGAAATGGCAGCAGGGCCATGTCTGGGTCACCCCAAGAGTTGGCCAAGGCCTGCAGCAGGTGGAGTCTGTACGGCTCGGGGCTCATGTCTGGGCAGGGCAATTTTAGAGCCGTGTAAGCTAAATTTGCCACTTCCAGGCTTTCGGACGGCGAGAAAAGGCAGTCCGGAGAGCTGCTCTTGGTGTGCGCCAGGATTCGTGGCACCAATTTGCGCTTGCAGCCAGGGCCTGGCGACTGCTTGCAGTGGGTGTTCTGGCTTGGAGCATCTGCGGAAGAGTGCATTCCTGCTCCGTCGCAGGTCGGGAGCCTGCAAGGCGCCAGTGTGATGGTCCTGGATGCAATGGCAGTGTTTGTCGGAAGGAATGTGTTGCTGACCCTTCCTATGCCTACCTGGGCA